TCCGGAGAGGTGCAGCCCCCGGCCCCGGAGCCCTCCCGGGGGCGCTAGGAAGCCACTTTGGGCCTGTCCCCAGGAAAACGTGGTCTCAGCTGTGGGGGCCGTCGAGCAGGCCTCGACCCCTCTTTCTGACCCGAGAAGAGGCCCAGCGCCTCATCCTCACCCCGTCTTTGTGCAGGGCGCCGGCAGCCATTGTGTCCGTGCGGGGAATGGAGGACCCGGCAATCCCCCACCGCCACGTTCAGGGCCTTTGGGGAATTCAAAGAAAACCAGCGGCATTTGTCGGGGGTCTCCGGCCTTCAACCTCCCGGACACGCCTGGGGGTGGCCTTCCCGAAGTCAGATCGCAGATCCGAGGCAGTTTCCCCGTCCCTGCGTCCCTCATCGAAACCGTGAACCCCATTGAGAAGTCCCTTCGGGGTTTCGGACGTCTCCACCTCACCCTGGGCTGGTGCTTAAATAGAAAAAGGAAAGAAAAAAAAAAGAAAACCTAGCTAAATTCTACCAGCCACCTCCGGGAGAGTTCTCCTGGCTCCCAGTAGGAGGCGGAGAGCCAAGGGGCGTGCAAGAGCGAGGGGGCTGGGCTCCCGGGTGGCAGGAGGCCGCGGCTGCAGAGCGGCCGCCCTCGATCCCGGCGATGGAGGAGGAAGCAAGCGAGGGGGCTGGTTCCTGAGCTTCGCAATTCCTGTGTCGCCTTCTGGGCTCCCAGCCTGCGGGTCGCATGATCCCTGTAGCCGGAGCTGGGTTTTTTGCCAGCCGCCGCGAGGCCGGCTGAGTTACCGGCATCCCGGCCGCCACCTCCTCTCCCGACCTGTGATACAAAAGATCTTCCGGGGGCTGCACCTGCCTGCATTTGCTAAAGGCAGATTTGAATGTAGGTGGTGCGGGGGAGGGGGAGTCGGGGGGGACTGCCCAGGGATGACTTTCCGAAGAAGGCATTTCGGAGAAAAAGGGGTGGCTGGGGTAGAAAAAGCTGGTGGGAGGTTCAGAGCCCACTGTTGGTGTTTTCGATTTGACTTAATTGAAGTATCTTGGAACCTAGACTTCCTAAGAGCCACAAAGAAACCAGTTTTGGTTCCTGGAGGGAGAATGGGATGTTTAGGGTAAATGGCATGCATATTAATTTTTTTTTTTTTTTCCTGAAGCTCTTTCTCTCTCTTCAGAATCTTATCTTGGCTTTGGATCTTAGAAGAGAATCACTAACCAGAGACCAGACCCAGTGAGCAGGTGTTTTGGACAATGGACTGGTTGAGCCCATCCCTATTATAAAAATGTCTCAGAGCAACCGGGAGCTGGTGGTTGACTTTCTCTCCTACAAGCTTTCCCAGAAAGGATACAGCTGGAGTCAGTTTAGTGATGTGGAAGAGAACAGGACTGAGGCCCCAGAAGGGACTGATTCGGAGATGGAGACCCCCAGTGCCATCAATGGCAACCCATCCTGGCACCTGGCGGACAGCCCCGCGGTGAATGGAGCCACGGGCCACAGCAGCAGTTTGGATGCCCGGGAGGTGATCCCCATGGCAGCAGTAAAGCAAGCACTGAGGGAGGCGGGCGACGAGTTTGAACTGCGGTACCGGCGGGCATTTAGTGACCTGACATCCCAGCTCCACATCACCCCCGGGACAGCGTATCAAAGCTTTGAACAGGTAGTGAACGAACTCTTCCGGGATGGGGTAAACTGGGGTCGCATTGTGGCCTTTTTCTCCTTCGGCGGGGCACTGTGCGTGGAAAGCGTAGACAAGGAGATGCAGGTATTGGTGAGTCGGATTGCAGCTTGGATGGCCACTTACCTGAATGACCACCTAGAGCCTTGGATCCAGGAGAACGGCGGCTGGGTAAGAACCAAGCCCCTTGTGTGTCCTTTTTCTTTGGCCTCTGGTCAGAGATCCCCAACAGCCCTTCTTCTGTATCTCTTTCTGTTGTGTTGGGTGATTGTTGGAGATGTTGATAGTTGAGGAGACCTGACTGGTCTTATTTCACAAAATGACCCTGTGCGTCAAAGATCAGGCAGCTTTCACTCTGGTCACCCCATGACTCCGCTCTTCCATACTTGTGTTCCAGTTTCTCAGCAAAGAAAACTATAGCTTATGTGTTCATTAAGTCCCTAAGCTGTGAGACTAGGAGGTTAGTTCAGTGTTTCCCTTACCTTATACAGTGGTTCACACACAAAGGGGTGATGAGTACAATGCGTGGAGAAGATGATGAGCATCAGTGGCCCACAGACCTCTCCATCTGTTCCCCGTGAGACGTCTCAGTCCTATCCTGGGCTTCTCTCCCCCAAATCAAGTTCCCTTTATTTCAAAGTTTGCATGTGTGGCACTCTCCTCTCAGACTAGGGCATGGCCAGGCAGGAGTTCCCCCTGGGTTGAATGGGTGAGAATTGTCAGATTTTAGGGCAGTGTAGGCTGTGCAGATTGTGTTTGCACTGCGCCCCCTAAGTTCATTTCCCCCAAAGTGTGTGACTTTCTGCTTCGTTGCCTTGTTTGTGGAGCACTTGCTGTGTCACACATTAAGCCCGGGGACTTTGCACTTCACTGCCTGGGGTCGGTTGGGGAGCCCCAGCTGCTCTCCCTGTTACTTTCCGGCCAGAGCCCTGGGGGCCTCTTCAAGCACTGTTTGCTGGCAAAGCAAGAACCCAGTCTTTGGGGCTCTGTGGGACATTTGAGATTTGGTTACAGACTTCAGATGCCAGTATAAGTCCTAGCCCTGTCGTGTAACCAGCTGTGTGACCTTGGAAAGGCTGGGTTACTTTCTTGAGGCATAGTTTCTTCCACTAAAAAATGTAGCAAGCCCTCCTTGCTTTAGAGAGTCTTGTAAATCTTGGTGATAATGTGAGCACGGTGACCGACACCAGCCAAATTCCTTTTCCAGGGAGGGAGAATTCTCTTGCCCATCACTGAGCCAGGATGAGGGTGGTGAAAGCGTCTTTACCAGTGGTCACTATGGGCAGTTTTTGCTCTTCAGTGAACTCAGTCCTGTTTCCTTGCTTATCTCCCTACCTAGGGGAGTGCAGGGTTTATGAGAGGTAGTCTGTCCTCTCAGAACATGCAGAAAAGCAACAAGCTGTAGAAAATAAGTCATCCATTGAAGGAGCTGAGGTGGAAGGGGCCATGCACCACAGACTCAGGAATGTCAAGAATGCAACTGTCCATAGGCTGGGCCTAGGGCGTGGCAGGAACTTCACTTTACCACTAAGGAGAGACCTCCTGGTTGGCCCTGGAACCCCACCCCCTCTCTCATTTCCCATTTCTTTGCAACTTCTTTAGCTCTTCTCCTGTGCCAGCTCTTGTAAAAGGCAAGGAGGTCAAGTCAATAGAGGTTAGATAACTGGGGTGGGGTCAGGGGAGGTAAAGGTGGTGGGCTCTCTTGAGCTAAGGCTGACTAGACTTGAAAGCCTTTCTGTAAATGAACTCCCTGGGGGGGATAAATGATTAAATAGTTCCTGTTGGTTTGTTCAGTGACCTCTCCTATTCCCTCCTGCTTTGATTCTCTTTTGGGGCAAATATTTGTTCAGCTGATTACAGGACAGACAGGATTCCAGTACTGCACACACACACCCTCTGAGGCATCTCCAAGTAGGGACTGAGGCCACTTGCCCACTTTGCCTGACTATTGTCTTTGGCCAGTGGTCCTAATACCAGGTGGGTGTTGCCAGCTGTAAACAAAAGGCAGTCTTGGAGAGATGCCTGGTCTGCCAGCCAGCCTTTGCAGAGGGCTACCCCTACCAGAGAATTGCCAGCTGCCCAGTGGTGCATGTGAAGGAGATCTTAGACACAGAAGCTCTGGGCAAGTTCATTAGATCGCCATTGGATTTAAATTCCATCTTCCATCTCTTTGCTTAAGAATTATCAGAGCCCGTTGGACAACATACCACATGTCACTTCCTCTTGGTGAACAGAGGGGTTGTGTGTGGAAGAGCCAGTTATGTCAGAACCATTTCTGAGCATACATTCTCTCCCTGAGGCCAGGGAGAAAAGAACGTTTGAGTCAGGATCCTTTGAGCCTGGGTAGAAGGTACCTGCCCCCTTCCTCTCAGGTACTATCCTGTTCTGAACTGTACACTGACTGGCTACTGTGGTGGCATCTCGTAACTATCTTGGAGGCTGTGGTTGGGAGATCCTTGAGGGTAGGAGTTATGGGCTGTTCTACTCAGGGCTATGTTCTAAATTTAGCCTCCCTACAGGAAAGGGGAAGGAAATTAGCCTTTCTTGAGTACCTGTTAAGTACTAGACACTGTGTTAGGTCCTCTACTTATGCAACCAATATTTATTGAGCATCTATTGTGAAGCTGACAGTGTACTAGCTGCTGCCCATAAGCCACACATGGTACAACATGGAAATGGCATGCTGTTTCATATATTCCAAAGTAATCTTCCAAGGTAGATGAGTTTATTCCCAGTTTACACGTGAAGCTCTTTGTGGCTAAGTGACTGTCCCCAGGTATCCCTCAGCCAGTTAAGTGTCCGAATAAGAATTTACACCGAGGTTGGCGTAACTCTAAAGCCTAAACACTTTTCATCCTATCAGGTTGTCCAGGGAGTAATAACGTGACCCTGACAGACTGGCCCAGAAAGCCAGAGATGCTATTGGGCCAAGCAAACCGTGCCTGTGAAGGTGCTCACTCTGGACTGATAACTGGCTTTGTTCAGGTAGCCATGGGAAGGATAGTTGGCAGTAGCTGGTTCCCAGAGGCATATTGGTAGCCTCAGATTTTGGCACTGGTAAAACTCAGACATGGCAGGTTTCATGTGGGCATCAGGGTTTTGCCCAGGGTGAGCTGTTTATTAATTTTTTTTTTTTTTTTTTTTTTTTTTTTTTTTTTTTTTTGAGACGGAGTCTCTCAGTCGCCAGGCTAGAGTGCAGTGGCACAACCTTGGCTCACTGCAACCTCCGCCTCCCAGGTTCAAGTGATTCCCCTGCCTCAGCCTCCCGAGTACCTGGGAGGGACTACAGGCGCGTGCCACCATGCCTGGCTAATTTTTTGTATTTTAGTAGAGACAGGATTTCATGTTGGCCAGGATGGTCTCAATCTCCTGATCTCCCAAAGTGCTGGGATTCTAGGGTCAGCCACTGTGACCAGCCAATTTTCTCATTGTTAAAACCCTCTCAGGCCCTGCCAATAGATGACAACTGTGTGCCAGTGGTTAGAAGGTGGTCTGCCCCAGGTCTCTCTATTTAAGGTGGAGTGAGGCTTCAAGGACTGAAAGTCTAGACTCTCAACCAGATTCCTGCCTGCCTGCAGTCACCTGATGAAATGCTGAACCTGTTCGGCTCTCTTGTCCATCTCTTTCCCACCTGTAAAATGGAATAATGATAGCCAGCTGCCATAGCTTGACTCTAGTAAAGGATCTAGAACAAAAGCCCTTCCCCTGCCTTAATTGTAGGGTAGAAACCCTTTAATGAATGGGCTTCTTCCCTCAGGGAACTGACTCTGCCCCCTAGAGTTTTTCTTCAAGAAACAAAGTCCTTGTGATACTCATCTGGAATGTTGTATGTATGACCTTCCCCAAAGGGACTGAGTGTTTCTGGTGCTTTCCAATGGGAATGTGGGAAGGGACTCAGATGGGCCTGTCCACTTTGGGATTGCTGTCCCTGAAGAAACCCTTTAGCCTGATGGAAACATCATTGTTGGAAGCAATGAAGTGTGTGAGCGAAGAAAACATACAGCCTTTTTTAAGCTATATGGCTCAGTGGTCTGTATTTCTATAGATCTCTTATTGCCTAATCTGGCTTCTTTGGATGGATATATGCTTAGTTGAAGCACCTCAGCTCCCTTTGCAGATGGTGGCAGTTCTGCGTTTTTTCTTGGGGAAACCCCATTAGAAACCTCAAAAGTGGAAATTTTTAGTAATCTTATTCAGGTCCCCAAATGAAATAGAAGTGTCTCAGGGGCTCCCCCGTGAAACACCTACTTCTTCTGAGTGTATGTTTGAGGTTGCTCTTAAAATTCTGTTACCATCACAGGGTTTTCCAGACTTCCTAGGAATAATTTCCCCAGTAGCCCTGTGGAGCCCTTTAGCTTCTGTCAAAAATTACCTGGGTATTTTTTCAGGGGGCTCTAATGGAACCTGGAGAGTTTTCTTGACTTTTGTATGGGTGTCCCCAGGTTTGTTTGGGCTGCGTGAAGCAGCAGTTGTTATCTCTGTCCCTTCCCTCAACAGATGTCTATCCTGAGGCCAGTGGGCTTGAACGTCCTCCTCTGCGTCTGACCTTCCTGATTTTACCATTGCCCTCAGCCTTCCATCATGGGGCTTTCTTTCAGCAACTGTGGTTTTGCCTGAGTTTAATATGGATAGACAAGGGGTAATTCCCAGTGCGCTGCTTTTTTACAGAAGCATAATCTCCTACTGCCTTAATTAAGCAGGGGCCCTATCCCCACCCAACCTCCAACCTAATTCCGTAGAGTCCTCCCTAAGGACTCCCTCTCTTTTCTTTGAAGGAGTCACTCTGCTCCTGGATCCTCTTCTCTTCTGCCCCTCTAACTGGTAGTCTGTCTTCCTTGCTCCCAGTTGGCAGACCTGAGTCAGACAATCCCACTGGGTCTTTTTGTTTAGCCTTGGGAAGAGAAGACCGAGAAGAATATGATCACCAGCTTCAGATCTCTGAAGGAAGAGGGACTGAGTCTTTTTTTATTGGTATGGTACCTGGCAAAACTTGGATACATGAAAAGAAGTTAACAGTTGTAGAGCTTAAATTAGTGTGGAGAAAACATTTCTAACAGATTTACCCTCTCCTAGATTTAGGAGCTCCTCAAGGTGGAGGCCACATCTTGTCGATGCTTATTTACTCACCACTGAGCAGAGGCCTTGGGCATAGTAGAGACCTAATGAAAGAGAAACCCACTAAATTTCTGATGAAACAGACCCTTATCAAGCCAGAATAACAGTAATGGGAGTGGCTGTTTACCTACTAATTCATTCATTGAGTCAAACAATGTTTATTGACCTCCTACTATGTACCAGGCAGTCTTAGGTACTGGGAATACAGCAGCAAACAAAACTAAGTTTCTGTCCTCATGGAGCTCACATTCCAATGAGGAGTGACAGGCAATAAATATATAATTACATGTTTATATCAGATGATTGCACATGCTATGAAGAAAATAAAGCAGGTTGGGGCATAGGGCATGTCTAGCAAGGGAGGGTGGGGCTACAGTTTTAATAGAGTGATCAAAGAAGGTGTAAGGGATCAAAAAATGGCTTTACCCTTCTAGGTTCTTTGGCTGGGCTGAGAATTAAATTGACAAAGACAGATTAACTGGAGGAAAAAAAATTTAATTACATAGGTATGCACAGGAGTCCTACAAAATTTGAGGCTCAAAGAAGGGTCAGATAATTGAAGCTTATATAGCATCCTGAGCTACCAAAAAAGAATGTAGGGTCCTCTTACAACCACATGAATAGTTGCAGAAATAAAAAAAAGAAAAAGAAAAAAGAAGGAATATGGGGCTTGGGACTTCTGTTAGGGGCTTGAGTGGCAGCAACTGAAGTTATGGCGGGGTAAGGGAAAGTATTGGTGGTGGCGTGCGTCTGTGATCCCAGCTACTGTGTAGGGGGGTGCTGAGGTGGGAGGATCACTTCAGCCTGGGAGGCGGAGGTTGTGGTGAGCCGAGATCATGCCACTGCACTCTAGCCTGGGTGACAGAGCAAGACCCTGTCTCAAAAAAAAAAGTCTCTGGTAATAAAGTTTGTGTGGAGCAGCCCTCTTCCTAATACAGATACTTTTACTAGTGGAGAGTTCCTTTTTAGATGTGAATTTCTTTTACAAAAGGACAGCTTTTCAGAGCTACTCGTGTCTGCAGTTTCTCAGAATAACCAGCTTAAAATCTGCCAAAGAAGTTTATTTTTGGGATGGCATATTCTGGTTTCCTACAGTCATATTTTGGGATGGTATGTCCTGAGTCCCGACAAAAGTATTACCTAAAGGTGATATTTGAGCCAAGAGCTGAATGACGTGAGGTGGTAGATGATGTAGGTACCAAAGGGTGTTTCAAACAGAGGGAATGGACTCAGGAAGGAGCATGCTTGACATTTTCAGGGATGAACAAGAAAGTCAATGTGGCTGGAGAAGCAATAGCAAAGGGGAAAAGTGTAGAAGATGAGGGGAGAGAATGGTTGGGGAGTAGGGTGGAGATGTAGGTGGGACCCAGATCACATCGAGCGTTACAGACCATGATGAAGATTTGGCTTTGGTGGAATAAGAGGCCAAAGGATTTGGAGTGCGGTGATATGGTCTGAATTCTTAAGTGTGGCAACAGGGAGCCCAGTGAAGAGGCTGGTGCAATTGCCAGGTGGAAAAGAATGGTGGCTTAGACCTAGAGGTGGAAGTGTGGCAAGGAGGGACTGGAGACTAAGACTAGGCATGCACGTGGTATATTGATGTATCCAGGTCCGAGAATCAGAGTTAAGTAAGCTAGATGTTCTTTGGGAATAGTTCTCTCCAAATGTGATACCTGATGAATGGTTTTCTTCCACTCCAACAGTATTTCTGTCTGAGTCAGTGCAATTTGTCTGAGGCCAGTTCCCAACTCATCCATGTCTACCTATGCAAACTCCTTTTACCTCTCTGAATCTTAGGATAAATAATAACTACCTCACAGGTGGTGGTGGTAAAGACACAGTGAGGTATGCCTGAGATGCATAGAGCCTAGAGCCATGTTGGTATCATTGTTATTCTTATCTTTACCACAGAACTCATTTCAGAGACCCATTCACAGAATTTTAAGCATCCACTCTCCTTTTTATTTTTATTTTTTTGAGACAGAGTCTCGCTCTGTCACCAGGCTGGAGTGCAGTGGCACGATCTACGCTCACTGCAACCTCCACCTCCCAGGTTCAAGTGATTCTCCTGCCTCAGCCTCCCAAGTAGCTGGGACTACCGGCACACGCCACCACGCCCAGCTAATTTTTGTATTTTTAGTAGAGATGGGGTTTTACCATGTTGGCCAGGATGGTATCAATCTCTTGACCTCTTGATCCTCCCGCCTCAACCTCCCAAAGTGGTGGGATTACAGGCATGAGCCACCATGCCCGGCCCACTCTTCTTTTTCTAAACACCATAGTGACTCGTCGGCACATCTCAGAGCAGGCCCTTGCAGCATTTCTGTTGCGCAGGAGCTCCATAGTATTTGTGTGCCATGGTGGTATAAGCACTGGTCGTGGAGTTGGAAACCCAGTTCTACTCTCAGCCTCACCTTGGCCAAGTCACTTTACCCCCAGGCCCCAGCTTCCCTTTCTGCAAGATGGAAGGTTTGAAGTGGACAGTATAGGAATGCTGGCCCTCTCTATCCTAAGGCCTTGTGACAGATTCCACCATTATGGCATATTTCACATTAGTTATATTTTAAAATGGCTCTCTGCTGTTGACAGATAACGTCAGCACCTTAACTAAACCCAGTGTCAAGGCAGGCTACTTTATCACTGAGCCCACAATAGTAATACCTTACATTTATATAACACCTTACAGTTTCCAAAGCACTTTCAGATCCACCTTGCCTCTTTGATCCTTATAACCACCCAGAGAGGTGAGTAAGAAGGATACTGTCTCCATTTCAAAGGAGAGAAATCAGGTGAGAGATGAATTGACTTGCCCAAGGTTACACCAGAGGAAGAGGCAGTTTTTGGACTTTCAAAGTGGAACTTGACTACTGGCTTGCTGTGTGACCTTGGGCAAGTCTCTTAACTTGTAAATGCTATGATAATGGCACCTTTTTCTGAAGGTTCGGTTAATTAATTCATGCCTTAAGGCTTTCATATCATCCTAAGGCTCTTTACTCACATCATCTGGCTTCTCTTTTATTACATATTGATTTTTGAAATTGTGTTTTTGTATAAAGAAACTGCCTTTGGGACAGTCTGCTACTTGGTTTCATCCCTGATGAGACTCTCAGGCCAAGCTTGAGCCTTACAGCGAACTCTGAGCCACAGGGCTCTTTGGGCAGCCTGCAGTGCTCCCCTCGGAACTGGAGGTTTTTCTCCAGCTCTTCAGGAAATGCCATTGCGATGACTTCCATGGACTGCTTCCTGTCCCAGCCCTGCCTGCAGGAGTGTGAAAACTGGAAAGCGATGTCCCTAGAGGTCCACCCTCCCTGCTCAAAACTACTTTTTTTTGGACATGTCCCTGCCTTTCTTCTTGTCAGTTACTTTCTTTGCTCCCTACCGTTTCCTCCTTCACCTGGCTTCTCCCTCCAGCTGTGATCATCCCTTCAAGATTTAGAAAATGCCTTTCTGCTTGGTTCCGCCAGGCCATTTCCCCCTACCCTAGGCTAGGCTGTGAGAAGGGTCAGTTATAATTCCTGGGTTCTCTTCTTGGCTCCATTGCCCATTAGCAGTTTCAGTCCTGGACATCCCCTGGAGGTGCATTAAACCTGTTGCAATGCCCTGTGTCATCCATTAACCCTGAGTTCCTCTAGGGGTTTCGATCCCACCCCTGCATAGGATGGGATTCTTAAGGGATATCTTGAGGTTTGGCACATATAAATCCTGCCTCTTAGAAATTGATGACAGAGGGTAGAGTGAAACATAGCCTGCCTTCCTCTCCCTCCCCCAGTCACCTTTGAGGAGGAAACTAGAAGGTTGAAAACCTTGTTGGACAATCATCTGAGGAATGGGAGCTGGCTTGGGAGGGGATTGGAATGCACTCAACTATGCCTCAGATCCTTTGTTCCTCTCTTGAAAGGGAAACATTCCTCTCCCTCCTCCCTGGCCACACACACACAGACACACGTGCCTTTGTTCCCCTGAGTCAGGCAGGGATAGGAACACAGTGTCCCTTCCAAGGAGCCTGACTCGCCTCCCTCGAGGCTGGCCTTCTGGTCAGTGGGACTGGGATATTTGCCCAGGAGCCCCCAACCTTCGTGTCCTTTCCATAGAGTCTCGGAGGCTAAAAACTTGCCTATAAACAGCTACTGAGACTTCTCTGTAATTATTTCATGGGATACCCATGTCCCAGGATAAACAGTCCCTCCCTCTTATTCCATTTGGTGATTAATATTATTGTTAACATTACTATTAATAGTATCTAACACTTATTGAGTGCTTACTCTATGCCAGCCATTGTTCAAAGTGCATTACATGTATTAATTGATTTCGTTCTCACAGCAATACTCTAAAGTAGTTTCTATTATCCCTGTTTCACACATGAGGAAACTGAGGTACAGAGAGGTTAAACAACTTATGCAAAGTTGTACAGTTAGTAAGTGGCAAAGCCTGAGAGGGTAGCTTCCAACCTCCCCCTTTTAAACACTACACTGTGTTCCCTCCTCCAGTTCACTATTGTCTGGATGACTGTTGGCATTAGTCCAGTGCTCACTGTGTGACAGCCTTTAGTGACACCATCTCTGTTACTACCCCAACAACCTTATCATTATAGGACACTGAGATTTGGGAGGGCTTATAGTTAGCAAGAGGCAGAGTCAGGATTTGAAACCAGGTCTCTCTTACTCTAAAGCCTGTCCTTTTGATCTCCAATCCTTAAAAGTCTTGCAAAGTAGGTAGTGTTACCTTCATTTTATGATTGAGAAAATTGAGGCTCAGAGAAAAGTGATATGTCCAGAGCTTCACAGGCTAGTACCAAGAAGAGCCTGAGATTCACACTTTGCTGCCTTAGTAGTCTGTATTGTCATGATTATTCTTTTTATGTGCATGATAATAATTTTAATTTACCAAATACCTTTTATAAATTATTTCCCCAGTGAAGTAGGTGAGGTGGGTATGTTCAGCCCTGTTTCCCGAGAGGAAACTAAGATAAGGGGGCTTGTCCCACAGTAATGGCAGTATCAGACTTAGAATTCATGTTCTGGCTTTTAACACAGTGTTATCAGTACTGTCTCCTCCTCCTAAAGCTGCATGTGTGGCTTGGAGCTGTCCTTGTAGTTTCATTTCTTTTGTTAAACCAGCAAATACTGACAAATGCTTTGTAATGTGCTAGAGAGAGATACTGTGGATATTGTGGTAAGTGGGAGTGAGTCCCATCCCTCAATGATCTGTTCCCATACCCCACACCTTGGGTCTTGCTGGTGTCCCTCTGCCATCTGAATCAGTCTGCATGTGTCATCTATCCTCCTCAGCTCCCAGACACACCAGGAAAGATGCATTATAGTTGATATGTATTAATTACCTTCAACACATACTCAGACGAAACTCTGGCCTCACATTTGAGACAGCTTGACTCCTTGCTGGTGGCATAACACGAAGTAAATCAGCTTCAAATTCTCATCCATAAGCCTGAGAGAATAATGCCAAGCCACCAGAGTAAGTGAGGCATAAATGAGAAAGTGAAATGTAAATGTGTTTTTTAGTAATAATAACAGATACTATGTGTTGAGTAGTTACTTGCTCTGTGCCACGTGTTGTGTTTATGCCTTTGATATAATCATCTTATTTGGTTCTCATGAATGCTTTCCTGTGAAGATCGAGAATCTAGGTTCCCTAATGTGTCCACAGTAACACATCTTATAAGAGGCAGAGCTGGGTCTTACACTCAGATGCGTCTGATGCAAAAGCCTATAAGCGTCATTGCTTCTTTGCAAGCCTAGACTGGCTTATTTTCCCTGACTACCTGGCTCAGGGCCTGGGGTTGGATAAGGGTTCGGCCACGGCCTGCTCAATGAACATGAAGGGTTGTTATTAGATACAGGTTAGGCTACAGAAAAAGTCTCTGCCCCTAAGGAAGCAAACTCATTTGAAGCAGTAGGAATAGAGCCCAAACACTTGGTGAATGGCTTGAGGCATACTGTGCCAAATCTGTGAAGCAGACTCCAAAAGCAGCGGAAGAGGTTGAGCCCACAAGTGCATTGCCCTGCACCTCTGGCAAATGGGCCTCTGGCAAATAGGCCCATTTCCACCATCAGCCATCCAGTTGATTACTGGGCCCAGAGGCCTCCACCCTCATCCTGTATCATCAGCCGGCACCCTTTCCCTAGCCAACTGCATTGTCAATGCAGGCCCTTTACTGTACCAACAGTGAAAAGGATCAGGAAGGAGAGAGGTCACGGAGGGTTTGAATAATCATAGCTTTCTCAGCAACGTGGCTTTGTACAATTCCCACTAAGGCCTCAGTTTCCTGGTCTGCAAAATGGTGATAATACTAATCTCTTAAAGAAGATGATAGCAATCTCTTCCTCATAAGTTTGCTGTTTTTCCTCTGCTTTGGATCACTCGTCTTATAGATCTGATCAGGGCTTGCTCTCTTCTTTTTTTTCCCACCCCCTTTAAAATAGAAATGAAGGGCTCTCTCTCTTCTTGTTTGGGTTGTCAACTCAGATATCACCTCCCTAGAGGCCACCATGTTTACATGTTTACTGTCTGTCTCCTATAGTAAAACATAAGCTCTCAGAGTACAGGAGCTTTATCTTGTCTTTCATCCCCAGCATCTGCCAGACTGCTTGGTATATAGGAGGCACTCAGCAAATATTTGTTGAATGAATAAGTGACTATGGACCACCTTGCACAGCGTCTGACATACAATATACTCAGTCAGTGTTAGGCATCGTTATGTATTAGGAAGATGTGGACCATGAAGGCTTTAACTAAGTGAAAAAATGTAACAAGAGCAGGCTATGGCTGGGTGTGGTGGCTCACACCTGTAATCCCAGCATTCTGGGAGACTGAGGTGGGTGATCACTTGAAATCAGGAGTTCAAGGCTACCCCGGCATATATGACAAAACCTCGTCTCTACTAAAAATTAGGCTGATGTGGTGGCACATGCCTGTAATCCCAGCTACTTGGGAGGCTGAGGCAGGAGAATCGCTTGAGGCCGGGAGGTGGAGGTTGCAGTCAGCTGAGATTGTGCCACTGACTTCAGCTTGGGTGACAGAGCAAGACTCTGCCACACACACACACACAGGATCAGGCTAGTCACACGCACACACGCGAGCAGGCCAGTTGAGTAAGAACCACCCAGACAGAACTGGAGGGTGGAGTATATGTGAAGCATTTGGAAGATGATGAGGAGGCCGACTGGCAAGAGCTGAAGATGGTCTGAGTTTGCAATAAAGCTGGTCAGGGAAAAAAGCAGGTGAATGATAACAGAGGCCTCTGGGCAGAGGGATGGGGATGGTTGATGGTAGAAGTGGGCCCAATGGAGAGAGGCCTAGAGCATCTGTGGGATGCAGTCAGGTCTCCAGTAACCCCTGGGAAAAAGAATCTCTTGCCAGCCAGGGCTCAGCAGGCAGAGCTGCAGGGAGAGAAAAGCCAGAGGCACCTGCAACCTGCAGATCAGGTAAGCTGGCCTGCTTGTTATTTTGGGACTCAGGGCCAGGTGCAGATTCAAAGGATTGATTGAAGCCTTTTGGCAACTCTGGCCTCAGCAGGGTAAACATCACCTGTCTCCTGCCACCTGCAGTGACAATGCCAGGAAGGGTACCCTAGGCAGGCCCAAAGGGGCCTAACTTTCCTGCCGCCCTGGTGGAGCAAGAAATATCTTCCAGGAGAGGCCATTCCTTCCCTTGCCCCACAGCTCCTTCTCTGTAAAGCTCAGGTGGCAATCAGGTACCTCTTGCCCAAGAGGCCTCCATGGTTCCAGCCCAAGGAAGGTAGGGGTGGGGCATTGGGAGCCGTTGACAGCTGGGCTCAGCTTGGGGGAGGGGTCAGTTTGGGAGCAGGTGCAGATTTCAGGGAGGGTGGGGCCTAAAGGGAAGTAGGGATCTTGGTTTTCCTCCCCATCCCCCAGCCACAGCTGGCTTCTCCAAGAACCTGATGACCTAGTTACAATGCTTAGAAATTGTCAGCTTAGCTTGCAGTTCAGGGCTTTGCCAGTCTCTCCTTTCTCTGAGGCTTCTTGGGTCCAAAAGGTGCCTTGGCATTTTCCCAAGGGGGTTCCATGTGAATGACATACACCATATCACATGTACAGGCTTCTTGCCCAGGGGAGGAAAAGTCCAGTAAGACTGCTGCTGCTTTCTTTCCTGGTGTGTGTCCCCCCAGGGAGAAAAGACTCCCATGCCCTTGCCCCCTTCTGTTCCTCTCTAGAGGGTTGGTGAGTGACAAATGGGAGGTCATAAACTTCCCCTGAGGGTCAACAAAGAGGGCCAGACCCTGTTGTCCTAAGGATAGATTGAGTACCTGTAACCGTTCTTTCCTTACCTCCCCGTCTCAGTGTGATGTTAAAACCTGATGGAAAGGGGTTAGGAAGACTCTACTGGAGGCTTTGGAGGCCCCCCACCCTCTCAGGCAGCAGCTGCTCCTGGTATTCCTGGTGTCTGCCTTGCCTCCTTGGGAGAAATTCCATCATTATTAAGAGTCAGATATGAAATTTGACAAACTAGCGTTGAGTTGATGAGTCTCACTTGCTTAATGGCTATCCTTGGCAAATTACTTAATCTTTCCCAGCCTTAGTTTCCTCATGTATAAAAAAAAGAGAGAACACCATACAGTACTTTTCTTTCTTTTTTTTTTTTTTTGAGACAGAATTTCACTCTTGTTGCCCGGGCTGGAGTGCAATGGCACAATCTCGGCTCACCACAACCTCCGCCTCCCGGGTTCAAGTGATTCTCCTGCCTCAGCCTCACAAGTAGCTGGGATTACAGGCACGCACCACCATGCCCAGCTACTTTTGTATTTTTAGTAGAGACAGGGTTTCTCCATGTTGGTCAGGCTGGTCTTGAACTCCCGACCTCAGGTGATCTGCCCACCTCAGCCTCCCAAAGTACTGAGATTACAGGTGTGAGCCACCACCTGGCCTACATTGCTTTTCTTGAAACACTCTTGAGAACATGAAAATAGTTGATAAGATACGTGGAACACTTACCAAGGAGCCCAGCATACAGGAATTACTTAATATAACAAGCTACTATTATTACTATTCTTGTCACATTGCAATCACTGGTAAACAAATTGTTGTGATTGCTATTGGATCTCCTCTCCAGGAGTGAATTTTCAGGCTGACAGAATATGTGGATATCTTTGGACCAAGAGTTTAGAGATTTTTAAGGTACCTGAAGCTTGGGGCCTTGGCTCACAACCTTGTCCCCTACCTCCTTCACAAGGACCCCATGTCATACCTTGTACACAGTAGAGGTTTGGCCAGTGTTGTTGACTAGGTATTTGGTAATGGGGCATATTTTGTTTTATCTTGCCAGGGACCTCCTTGTTTGTTGACTGAGTGGAAGACTTACTGGGTTAAATATTTAAAGTGTATTGAAGCATGCCTGGCACACAGTAGGTGCGTGACACATGTTTTAATGATTAAATATGGCATTGTGGGAACTCTGGAGTTTTTCCAGGATGGCCCCACTCCTTGTTTGCTCTGTGGCCTTAAGCCTCTTTCCCAAGCTCTGCCTGTTGCCTCATATGTTGAAGAAAGATAACACCCGCCTTGCCTCCCTCATGGGCTAGCAGGGAGGCCCAAAGAGATGATAGATGAAAAAGCACTTTGAGAACTATAAATATTAGGTCTTGTTGCTACTCCTTGACTAAAGTCACAGCTATAGTTGTGTTATTCATTCCTTCAGTCAGTCAGTCAACAAGCATTTTTTGAGCAGAAGCAGTATCTTATCACTTAACTGGCTTCACGAATTTGGACAAGTTACTTTCCCTATGTGAGCCTAAAGATCTATAAAATGGAAATAATACTCATTTCAGAGGGTTGAAACAGTGCACTGAGCTTATTGAGGATAAAAACTGTGCCTTATTCTCCCTTAACAGCTACTGTTGGGCCTAGTACTTGGTGGCTGAGTGTTTAGTGACTGGGTCAGCAAACATTCCTAACAATTAATGATGTAAGTAAAGTGCACTTATCACAGTACCTAGTGCGGAGTAAAAGCTCACCAAATGCTGAGTCTTTCCCTTTCCTCTTTCTATGAGGCTTGAGTTGCCTTGATTCAGCAATGGGTTGCCTTGATTCAGCAATGGGTTGCCTTCTGCAGTCAAATTACCAGGCAAGGCCAGACTCTGTGATTCAGATGGGAAGTAGAAATGAGTATTAATGCCTAGCTGCAAGATGTCCTTACCCGCCTAGGCTGGACTGCAGTTTGGGAGTCCTAACCTCGTCAGGATCAGTGCTGCTCAAACATAAAATCCAGTGTACTCTGAGTCTCATCCCATGCTTATCTCTGATCCAGAACAAGAACAACCACCCCTTGTTCTACCCACTGTCTGTCTGCTATTCAGTGAGAAGAATTTCCCTTTGCTCATAGTACCCACATTCAGTTGGAGCCCTAGGGGTTACCATGTCAGGGAAGTCCCAGGGAGTCACTCAGAAACAGCCCTTTGGGGCAAGGTCCAGAGAGGGAGCCCAAGTCTAAGGCTCAGTGTCTCCTGGGACTGGGTCAAGCAGCAGGTGCACACATGAGGCCCAGGGCTGGTGGCTGAGTGATGAAACTGAGAGATGTATAGGGCCAGACAAGAAGTCAACCTAGAGGAAACTGCCTGCCTGTTCATGCAGGTGTTTGGACACCTGGGGGAAGTTTCTGGGTCTGATTTAGTGGTGCTAGTGTAGGTTCCATATTAGCATCCCAAGCCACAGTGAGGGAAACCATGGAACTCCCAAGCAAAGCCTGTGGTTGGTACCTAGTACCTTTAAACTCTTCTCATATCCCTTTAGGGCAAAAGAGAGGCCCCTTTTCTGGGTTCTATAGCACCTACAGCTGGAAACCCTAGGGACGATGGCATGATAACCATAGCTACCTTTATAAAGTCTCTGCTGTGTCTTGGGTAGTGTGCTGGGACTCTTTATGAAAAGGAGATCATTTTGTTATTGGAAATATGGGCTCTGGAATCAGACAGAGTTGAGCTTGAATCTGGTCTCTGTTATATATCAGCTGTTTGATCTTGGGTGCATTCCTTTCCATTTCTGAGCCTCAATTCCCCAATCTGAAAAATGGGGATCATAATACTTCATAGAGTTTTTATAAGGTTTTAAGATCCTTTCGTAAGGATGTACGTAAGATCATACAGCACAGATGTTAAGGTAATTTTAGTAATAGTTAACATTATTGAGCACTTGCACTTAAGCATTTATATGAGATAATTCATTGAATTCTCAAAATAGTGCCACTCAGGTAGGTTCTCTTATTCCTATAGAGAAGTTAAAGAAGTTGTTCAAAGATGCACAGTGAGTAAGTGGTAAAACCATGATTTGAACCCAGGTAGTCTGGCTCCAAAGCCAACTTGTCCTACCTCTGGATAGAAGGGGCCTAGTAAATGTTGCCGTTATAACTATTGTATCCAGCATTGTAGCTGTCAGTGGTTTTTGGTCTGTCCTCTGAATTCTGAGCTCAGTGAAGACCAGAAACCCATTTAATCACCTTGTGCCCCCAGAGACCAACATAATACTCATAGAACTCATTAATATTTGCTTAATGGCTAAGAATATTCTCTCTCCTCATTAATCAATCAGTAGCTCTTTATCGACCACATCCTGTAGGCTAGCTTTGAACTGAATCCTAGGAGGAATACAAAGTACAGCTATGCCTGTGTAAATGGAAGACTGGGTGTGTACGTGTGCTGTGTGTTGTGGGGGTGCATTCCAGAGCACTGTGTCATTTGCAGAAATTCCACACAGGAGGCAGAAACAATACAGGTGGTTTGGGGATGTTTTCCAAGATGGGATTCCCACCCCTCCCTGAGGAAGTTACTTCCTCCATCTCCTGCAGAGCAAGGTGACACAGATTCCCTACTCTGCCCAAGGCAAGGAACCACTCTAAGCTCTTCAGTCACTCTAATCCAGAAACTGCCTTTATTGCTTAGGCAACCAGTTCACCAGGAGCCTAGAATGACAGGGAAAAAGTCAGAAGATTGGAGCTGGGAAGGGAACTTAGAAAATCACTCTTGCCCAATACTTTAGCCAAAGTGGTCTTTTAAAAACCAACTTCTGGCTGGGCATTATTGGGAGTTCCATAGGTGGCTCGTCCCTGTAATCCCAGCACTTTGGGATGCCGAGGTGGGCAGATCACCTGAGGTCAGGAGTTCAAGACCAACCTGACCAACATGGAGAAACCCCGTCTCTACAAAAATACAAAACACAGGCATGGTGGTGCACGCCTGTAATCCTAGCTACTCAGAAGGCTGAGGAAGGAGAATCGCTTGAATCTGGGAGGTGGAGGTTGTGTGAGCCCAGATCATGCCACTGCACTCCAGCCTGAGCAATAAGAGTGAAACTCCATCTCAAAAAAAAAAAAAAAAAAGCCAGGCATGGTGACTCATGCCTGTAATGTCAACACTTTGGGAGGTCAAGGTGGGTGAATCACCTGAGGTCAGGGGTTCAAGACCAGCCTGGCTAACATGATGAAACCCTATCTCTACTAAAAATACAAAATTAGCTGGGTGTAGTGGCATATGCCTGTAATCCCAGCTACCAGGGAGGCTGAGGCAGGAGAATCACTTGAACCTGGAAGGTGGAGGTTGCAGTGAGCCGAGATGGCACCGTTACACTCCAGCCAGGGCAACAAGAGTGAAACTTCATCTAAAAAAATTAAAAATTTAAAAAATGAAATTAAAAAAAAAACAAGTTCAGATCTTATCAGATTTTTGCTTATAACCCTCCAAGTGGTCTTCCACTTAGTTAGAATAAAACCCAGACTTTGGAAAAGAAAAAGAATAAAACCCAGACTTCTTATTTTTATTTATTTATTTATTTATTTTTGAGACAGAGTCTCGCCCTGTTAGGCTAGAGTGCAGTGGCACAATCTCTGCTCACTGCAACCTTGGCCTCCCTGGTTCAAGTAATTGCCCTGCCTCAGCCTCCCAAGTAGCAGGGATTAAAGGTGCCCACCATTATGCCTAGTTAAGACCCCACTTTTTTTTTTTTTTGAGACGGGGTTTCGCTCCTTTTTACCCAGGCTGGAGTGCAATGGCGCGATCTCGGCTCACCGCAACCTCCGCCTCCTGGGTTCAGGCAATTCTCCTGCCTCAGCCTCCTGAGTAGCTGGGATTACAGGCACACGCCACCATGCCCAGTTGAATTTTTGTATTTGTAGTAGAGACGGGGTTTCACCATGTTGACCAGGATGGTCTTGATCTCTTGACCTCGTGATCCACCCGCCTCGGCCTCCCAAAGTGCTGGGATTACAGGCTTGAGCCACCGCGCCCGGCCTAATTTTTGTATTTTTAGTAGAGACGGGGTCTCACCATGTTGGCCAGGCTGGTCTCGAACTCCTGACCTCGTGATCCACATGCCTCAGCCTCCCAAAGTGCTGGGATTACAGGCTTGAGCCACTGCACCCAGCAAAACCCAGACTTCTTACCAGCCTCTGAGGCCTGTGTGATCTGGTCCTGGCTGCCTCTCCGTCATTCCATCACTCCCTTACTCCACTCAAGCCACATGGGTTTCTTGCTGTTCCTCGGTCCTGGCATAAATTCTTGCTGCCTGGAATGTTCTGCCCCTAGTGTTTCCTTTCTGAGTCCTATATTTGGTTCAGCTCACTGGTCACCTCCTCAGAGAGACTTTCCTTGACCTTCAGTTTAAAGTAGCCATGCTACTTCTAAATCACTCTCCAATCTTCTTGTAGTTTTGCCATAGCAACAAACTCTATCCGTAATTGTCTTTTTGTTTATTTGTTTTTGCCTGTCTCTTCTACTAGAATATAAGCCCCATGATTATAGGGAGTTTGCTTTGTTCATCATTGTATCTCCAGTGTCTGCAGCTGTTCTTTGCAGGTAGTAAACATTCAGTGAATACTTTTTGAATAAATGATTAACAAATTAACAAAACGTAAGACACGAAAAAACTGAGCCCTAGAGAAGAGAAGCTAATGAGAATTAATAGTGTTCTTTCATCCTACTTTTGAATGCTCATAAGTGCCAAGCACTGTATTCAGTGATTTACATGCATTATTTTTGCCACTTACTCTTAATTATTATAAAGAGTTGTTTGGGACATCATTTTTTATATAATCCACTGTACCGTTTAAAAGAAAACTGGACCAACTCTTATTTTTTATTGGAACCTTGCTCTGTTTTACAAAGAATTGGAAGCAACTTAGGAAAATTCATACAACCAAAAGGATAATGTAGCTAAGGCGGTCAGGTGAAAGGAAAATATGGGTAAGAAGACAAGAGACAAAACCAAAATTAGTTCACACAAATGTATATTACACAAGTCTTTTGAACTGAGCAAAGTTTTTCTACCATTCTTTATGATAACTAGATATTGCCCAGATTCATTTAAAATGATGGTTTTTGGTGACAACACAAATTGGGAAAAAAAGGAAAATAAAAATATTTAAATAAAAAATAAATAAATAAAATGATGGTTTTAGGCCGGGCACCATGGTGCATGCCTGTAATCTCACCACTTTGGAAGGGCAAGGCAGGTGGATCATTTGAGGTCAGGAGTTCAAGACCAGCCTGGCCAACATGGTGAAACCTCATTTCTACTAAAAATACAAAAATTAGCCAAGTGTGGTGGTGGGAGCCTGTAATCCCAGCTACTCGGGAGGTTGAGGCAGGAGAATTGCTTGAACCCAGGAGGCAGAGGTTGCAGTGAGCTGAGATTTCGCCACTGCACTCCAGCCTGGGTGACAGAGCAAGACTGTGTCTTTTTTTTTTTCCCTTTTTTTTTTTTTTTTTTTTTGGAGACGGAGTTTCGCTCTTTTTACCCAGGCTGGAGTGCAATGGCGCGATCTCGGCTCACCACAACCTCCGCCCCCTGGGTTCAAGCAATTCTCCTGCCTCAGCCTCCTGAGTAGCTGGGATTACAGGCACGTGCCACCATGCCCAGCTAATTTTTTGTAGTTTTAGTAGAGACGGGGTTTCACCATGTTGACCAGGAAGACTGTGTCTTGAGGGAAAAAAAAAAAAAAATGATGGTTTTAAAAAAATCTAATTACATATATGACCTTGGGATTGTCCCAGACTGCACATAATAGTCTAGGATTTGCTGGTTCCCTTCCTGCCTCATCAGCTGGGCTCCTGGATTGAGGCAGCATGATCTTCTCTTTTTGCCAAAGGGACTGGTTCAGCAGGGAGGAGCCTAGATGCCTCCCCAGTCCTCTCTGAACCTAGCTAACCTTGTTTCAAGGAGTCTTTCCCCTAGAAGGTTTATTAATTGAGATATTGCCATTGGAAACCCAGTTCAGCTCTCAAGATACTTCCAATTGAATTACAGAGAAAAGGCATAATAAACATGAAAAGAGATCCTTGTAAAAAGCCAACAGTAAATGCTAAATGCCAAATGAGGGAAGGATTTCACAGAAGAGGTGAGATTTGCACCAAGCCTTACCACAAAGCAGGGAAAAGAGGGGCTGTAGCTCCCAGTAAGGAGGGTCCACATGAGCTAAGATTTGCAGGCTGAGACCAACTCTTTCAAGAAGAGACGTGTGAGCAGTGGCAGTCGAGTTTGAGGCATGTGTGGAGGGATCTATCTTAATAGGTAATAAAGCCAAAAAAGTCAGCTAGAGCCAGATTTGCAGAATCTTCAAGTGCCAGGGGAGGATTCTAAGTGGTATCCCAATAGATAGGTGATGGTGAGGCAGTAATGCCCATCCTGGCCACTTATTGGGCTGCTGATTCCCAGGTGGCAATGGCAGCTTCTGAAATGGGAGCCAGAGCCTTGAACTAACAGTGAGCAGAGGAGTAAGTGTGGGGCCATTGTCTGTTTAGCTTTTGGCCATCCCAGGTGCTATTCATCTGGTGATTCAGCAAATGTTTATTGAGCACCAACTGTGTGCCAGGCCCTGTGCTAGGTGCTGGAGATGCTAAGATGAACAAGACAAAGTCAAGGACACTGCTCTTATAGAACTCTTACTTTAGTGGGAGACACAGCTAGCCCAAGAAACAAATAAGATTATTTAGGGAGTGGGTTAAATGCTGTACAGAAAATGAAACTGAGTAATGGAATACCTAGGGGAGCAAATATATACATGGGCTCACTCAGATACTCAGCTCTGACACTGGTGGGTCTAGTCAGTACCTTTGTTTCTTTTTTTTTTTTTTTTTTGAGACGGAGTTTCACTCTTGTTACCCAGGCTGGAGTGCAATGGCGCGATCTCAGCTCACCGCAACCTCCGCCTCCTGGGTTCAGGCAATTCTCCTGCCTCAGCCTCCTGAGTAGCTGGGATTACAGGCACGCACCACCATGCCCAGCTAATTTTTTGTATTTTTAGTAGAGACAGGGTTTCACCATGTTGACCAAGATGGTCTCGATCTCTTGACCTCATGATCCACCCGCCTCAGCCTCCCAAAGTGGTGGGATTACAAGCTTGAGCCACCGCGCCCGGCCCCTTTGTTTCTTTTTGTGTTATAGATGAAGGTGATCTTTCAAATCTCCTCTGCAGAGACCCAATAGGATAATGGTGACTACCATTTATTGAGCACCTAGCCTACGTCAGGTACTCTACATACATTTTCTCATTTAATTTTTTTTTTTTATATACATATTTAGAGATGGGGTGTCACCATGTTGGCCAGGCTGGTCTCGAACTCCTGACCTCAGGTGATCCACCCATCTCGGCCTCCCAAAGTGCTGGGATTACAGGCATGAGCCACCACACCCGGCCCATTTTCTCATTTAATTCTCCCACCTAGACTGTGTGATAAATGGTCCGTTAGCTCTACTTCCTTTTCCAGCAAGGAAACTAAAGTTTAGAGAGGTGAAGTTGCATTCCAGGGTCCTGCAACTTTACATGGTGAATTCTGGATTTGGACCTAGATTGGGCTGGCTTTAAAGGCAGGGTTCTTTCCACTGTTCCACCCTTGGAATAAATGAAGCATTTTGGTTCAGGATGTGCAGAAAGCTGCTTAGCAAAAGGAGAGTTG